AATGCATAAAGTTAAAAAGAGAAAACAACACGCCAAAATATCCTTCAAACGTCAAAAGAACTCATTAATTGGCGCGCAGCTCACAAACTAGGTTGCCAAACCAGTGTTGCCAGTCTAGTACAATTCACAATTGTACTAGATGTAGTACATTTTGCTTGAGGCAGTGTTCACGTGTAAAATATATATATATATATATATATATATAAATATATTGTGTTCCTTGTTTGGGTTCGTTATCTATAAAAACCCTCTTTTTTCCTCTTCAATAAATTAGATGTCACTGCAAATAGAATTCGAAAAATCTGGTACATAACAAAAACATATTCTGGCAACATTGTACCAAATCAAACAAACTGTCATTCCGTCTACCTGTGGATCGTTTATATCGTGCGAATTTAGAGATGAGTAGTAATCCGTAAATGTACCTACTTAACACTTACAGATTTGCTAATATCCATCTCTAAATTCCAGTGTGACACCGGCACCACTTGGAACTTTAGAGACGTTGTAACCGAACTTTGATTTTAGTTCAAGGACGACTTACCCAACTCCGACTCAGCTGAGTTCTGTTTATAAATATGAACCTGAATATATTTGTATCCTTGTTTACCGATATATAAAAGAAGAAAGTGAGAATACACTCAGTGAGACACGAGATCCCTTTACAAATTATACTTTTTATGGATTTTTGTGTTTCGTGAACCGAATTTTCGTTGTTTTGAGGTTGGCTGTACTGGTCTTAGGTTCTGTGTGAATTTACTAGTGCTTATGTACGATGGAATCGTATTTGGTAAAATTTATAAAAACAAATAGACATAATTCCGAAAATCGAGTGCTTACAAAAAAGAATGGCCCACCTCAATCGGAGATAAACATTGTTCAAGAATGTGCCATAAGAAATAGAAAGTTTAAACATCCTTTTAAGATTGAACAATATAAAAAAACTTCGTGGTTATGCGGGTGTGATAAACAACATGCTTTGTTTTGTTTTCCTTGTTTAGTTTTTGCAAACAATGAAAATACTAAATCAGAAAGGACAAAAACGGGTGTTAGGGAATTATCTCATATTAGGTAAGCATGATTTTGCATTATTTCTATAATTTAAACTTGATGTTTCTTTCTTACACTGTATTAATCGAGGAATTAATATTTTAAATTATAACGAGCCACCACTACCTTTAATTAAAAAAATCTAATTAAATATGGGGGATTTAAGGGGGGTTGAAATTAAAATTAAAAACAAAAAATCAAAAATGAAAAGCGATATCAACATTTTTAGTAAAAATCAAGCCCTATAAGGAGATGAGGTATTGATTGTGAAAACAATCTGGTAGAAAATGGGTAGTTAAGGGAGTCTGTTAAACTGCGAAAAGTATCATTTAGAATGCCTGGCATCAGTATTGCCAGAATATATTTTTATAATGTACCAGATTTATCTAAATAATGTTCCAGATTTCATAAAAATGTACCAGATTCTATAAAATTACCAGATTTTTCTAATTATGAAGTTTGGTCATTAAAGAGCAAAAAAAGGTTTATAGAGAACACGAACACAACAATTTTAAACAATATTTTATCTCTCGACAAATTTCTGACACTATTTTATCTCTCCAGCAGTTTTTGAATAAGATTTTAATACCTTTTGATACTCTTTTATCTCTCGAACAGTTTTTAATTTTTTTTTATCTCTTGAGCTATTTTGAAACAATACTTTATCTCTCGATAAATTTCTAACAGTATTCTATCTCTCCAGCAATTTTTAACAACGTTTTTTTATCCCTCGAGCAATGTTTGTACAAAATTTTTAACACTATTTAATCACTCGAGCAATTTTTAACAGTTTTTTATCTTTCAAGCTATTTTTGAACAATATTTGAATTCTCGTGCAATTTTTGAGCAAAATTTTAACAATTTCTAACACTACTTCATCTCCCGGGCAATTTTTAAAAACGATTTTAATACCTTTTAATATTTTATCTCTCGAACAGTTTTTAAAAAACCTTTTTTTATCTCTTGAGCTATTTTTAAAAAATATTTTATCTCTCGATAAATTTCCAACAGTATTCTATCTCTCGAGCAATTTTTAACAACTTTTTTTTATCTCTCGAATAATGTTTGCACAAAATTTTTTGTAACATTTTTAACACTATTTAATCACTTGAGCAATTTTTAACAGCTCTTTTACCTTTCAAGCTATTTTTGAACAATATTTGATCGTGCAATTTTTGAGCAAAATTTTAATAATTTCTAACACTATTTTATCTCTCGAGCAATTTTTATTAACATTTTTTTATCTTTCTAACAATTTTTAAACCTTTTTTTATCTCTTGAGCTATATTTAAACAATATTTTATCTTTCGATAAATTTATAACATTATTCTATCTCTCGATCAATTTTTAACAACTTTTTTATCTCTTTAGCAAACTGCACAATATTTTAACTCTCGACAAATTTATAAAAATATTTTATCTCTCGCGCATTTTCTAATAGATTGGTAGACAATGATGAATGCATCTGCGGCGAGGTAGCCGATTTACAACATTTACTTTTAGAATGTATTTTAAATGATATTCACATATCAAATCTATATACCAAACTTATTCAACATAATGTCCAACTACCTATTAATTTGACACACCTTCTCGCCCTCAAGAATTTCGATGTATACAAAATTATTTATAATCATTTAAACTCCTTAAATTTAAAGCTCTGACGAAAATAATTAAAAAATGTACAAAAATAAAAAATAATATAACAAAACTAAATAAAAAATAATATAACAAAACTAAATAAAAAAAAAACAAAATTAAAACAAAAAAAAACAAAATTATAACAAAAAAAAAACAAAAAAAAACAGAAACAAAAACAAAAACAAGTAAAAAACAAAAACAGACGAAAAAATCAAAAACAAGCAAAAACATGAGCTATTTTTAAACAATGTTTTATCTCTCTAGAAGTGTCTACTATTTTATCTCTGAAGTAATTTTTAAGAACTATTTTAATTTCTCTTGCAATTTTTGACCAATATATTTTACACTTCAAATGGAAACATACGCTGAAAAAAGTACTAGATTATGTTTCGAGTGTACTAGAGTACCAGATTCTCAGAGAATGTAGTAGATCTAGTACAATTGTACTAGACTGGCAACACTGCCTGGCATTATATATCTTTATTCTAGTTTGTATTTGTGTAATAGTATGTATTGTGATGGGACTGATCTCATAAAATAAACATTTAAAACATTTTAGTTTTTATTTTATTTAAAAGTTATTATTTTAAAAGGTATTTAAAAAATATATTTTTTATTTGACATGTGTGACAAAATGTGAAAATGATTAAATTTACAATAAAAACTGAAAAATGGTAGGTAAAGTTTCATATAATATTTTTTACACAAAAATCAATGTCAAGCTTTCTACATAACCTTATATATATATTTAAAAATAATCTCAAATTATGAAGAAAAGTCAGTTAACTAATAATGTTTATAGGTGGTTTTCAATGAATTAAAAACAAAAGAAATATCACACTAACTAAAATTTTCATTTATTAATAGTTATAGTGCTTGAAAATAGTATGATGTTGATAATAACTACATTTAATACAAACTCAAATAATAATAAAAACAGCGATATTGGCTCTTTTACAAAGTTTTGGGCCGAACTTACAAAAATGATCAAATTATTGGAAAAAGTGAACACCCAATTCAAATTACCACGAGCCGCCACTGGTGTCTGGCCAGCAGGTAAATTTGGATCTCGAAGTGAAAACATTTGTAGTAATTACAGACAACCGTCTTTTTATTTCATTTCATGATGATTGTACGTTAATTACGGCATGTCAGTACTTATCTAATATTAAAAAAAAAAAAATTCAATTTGAGCTGTGTCCAGGCCGTTGGAGTTTATGCCGGTCGGCGTAGCCAGGTATGGTTTAAAAATTTTCTGGTGGCGGCGAAGCCGCCACCTTACAACAAGTCGTTCCTTCGTTTTCTTATTGTATATTTTCATATTATTAGATGCCCACGATACAAGACACGTTCGTTAAAAGTTGGGATCGATGTTCACTGGCCAGACGCTAATGAGGGATGGTTAGGTTAGGTTAGGTTTTTTCAATTTGAGCTGTGTCCAGGCCGTTGTTGTCTATGCCGGTCGGCGTAGCCAGGTATGAGTTAAAATTTTTTGGTAGCGCCACCCTACAAGAAGTCGTTGCTTCATCTTCTTATTGTATATTGTTAGTTTAGGTCAGGTCGTCGAAGAGTACTCTGCCGATGAGGGTGAGGAAGAAGATCTTGATATGGGTATTTTTTAAATCGTTAGTTATATATAATTTTTCTGATACTGAAGTCAATTGGTTGGCCTGGTACAACGCAGGGCATAGGTAAAAATTACCATTGCTATGTAATAGATAATTGATATGACAACATTGTATTTCTTTTAGACATATGTCACACTGTAAATCTTAATTGTCATAGTCTTTACGAAAATTAAAAAATTCCGACGAACCTAAACATGAGCTTAAATTAAAAAAATAAACTGTTTACGAAAAAATTTGAATGGTTTATTGCATTATGGATGGTCTAGTGTTATTATTTAGCAGTTTCTATAACAAGAAATTAATCAAAATGATGTAGTTTAAATTTTTTCAACATCGTAATTGGAGGATACATTTTAATAGTTTTAAGGTAAGAAAAAAATTTTTATAGCGTTTGCAGGACAAAAAAAGTATTTTGAAATGTGTTTCAGAAGGTATAAAATCGTTTAAAAAAAAAATAAAAAAAAATAGCCCGTTCGACTGTTGGCGGATTTTTCCCGAGACTCTTGCGTATAATGTTCTGAAGTCAAGTAAATAATAAACAGTGTCAAAAAAAATTAAACAATTTTATATTGAAAAGAAATTGTATTTTAACCTTGTTCGTTGAACGGAATTCTTGAATAATAAATAACTTTCACCTTCGAATTCAACAAAATTAATTATTTCATAATAAGTACAACATACCTGAACTTCCTCCTGTAACCACAGCGGTTTTGTTGATTAAACAGACATTGCTTTTGCTTTTCACATCTCCAAATTTAAAAATAACGAAAAAAAATACGACAAAGAACACGATCAATAACGCGAATAATACTAATATAAGTGGCATTGTTGCTATGTTAGATTACCACATTTACCTACTACACTCTATTATGAAGTGAACGTGAAGATAAAACATACGGAATGTTTTCCTGTCGTGTCGATAGCCGCTAATCGACCAGTTTCGGGTATTAATTAATTACTTTATTTACTTAAGTATTTTTATCAATAAGCGGTGTCCCAAATTAATAGTCAAGTGAGTTATCATTTAATAAACAATCATGGATACAGACAGGAAAGTAAAATTTGGCCGTGTTCATCGTCGTCAAACATTTTGTAACGCTGAGCAAGCGGTGACGATGAACTGTCAAGCGCTGCAGCGCTTTTGGATAATGATAAGAGCGAAAATAAACTTGCTTTTATGCTAAAAATATAATACGATTTGAAAAATCGTTTATTAAAAAAATATTTTTATTTAAACAACAAGTAGGGGAAAGTGGGCTAATACCGCGCAGCGGGGTAATACCGCGCACACAGAAACACAGGTGTTTGAGCAACCCAGAATAAATTTGACTACTCGTACGTTACCTGGTACATGTGGCAACTATGCCACAAATGTTGTGCAGTCGATCGAAGCAACAAGCATCATCCCAGTGTTGCCGATTTGCGAATATTTATACGATTTTCGTATATTCTGACTTGCCAGCGTATCTTTTTCTAACTCTTTGAAATTCCGTATAATTTCCGTTCATTCTGGGAAAAAATTGGATCTTTTTGGATTTCCATTTATTTTAGAAATAAGTTTAGTCACTTCTGAGTTTATTTGGACAACTTAGTAGTTTCAGTGTGTCTTCTGGTGTACTTTTATTAAACAGTGGCTGACTGGTAGCTGGCTGCTTGTTTTAGAGAAAGCCACACTCCATGTCATTGATCAATGAAAACAGGCCCGGACCCGGGGATTCATCGAATCAATATTGTTCGTATTGTTGAAATGCACTTTGCTTTGGAACTTTTGGCTTTTGGCAGTTTGAACGAATCTGCATTGCTACATTTATTCTGTCGGCAGTCCCCATCTCACAAACCAAATTTGATATCTTGAAATGTAAAGGTGTTGCTACAAAGCTAAATCTACAAAGACGTATAAAAAGCGTATCTTTTGTATCCAGCCACCGTATAATTTCAAGTTTGGGTATTGGAAACACTGCATCATCCAGTACTTCGCAGTATATCAAAGTGTGAGTGTCGTTGCTTTTATTATAATTTAGAGCTACTAGGAAATAAGCGAGGTAAGTTTAAATATTAGGTAAATATAAAATCGGCTAATATAGATATTGTATTGGTTCTTTTACTGATTTTTACCTGCTACCGTTTTTAATTTTCTTCATTAAACAACCGAGGTGAGATTAGAAAATAGGACAAGTGTCGATATGTCGCAATACCGCGCGTGGTATTACCCCACATATGCGCGATATTACCTCACATTGATTTCAATGGTAAGATGAGCGGTATTGCGCCACCTCTAAATTTGCTAAGTATTACTCTGCGTTGATTTCATTGGTAAAATATTTCCACTTTTTATTTCAGATGGTAAGAAATTACAAAAGAAAAACTCAACGAAAAAGTTGGTCTTTTGAACAACTTTATAATGCAATAGCTGCTGTTCGCTCAGGTTCAAAAATACGTGAGGTGGCAAGAAATTTCGATATTCCAGAATCGAGAGTTCGTGATCATTTAAAAAAAAGAGGTACCGGCACAGACGATGAAGCTCCAGCTCAACTTGATGAAACGCATGGCTTGAGACAGACGCCAGTTTTTACGAAAAAACAAGAACAAGAGCTAGCAGATCACGTTATGAGGTTAGCGAATTTGTTTTATGGAGTAACTCCGCGGAACTTCAGACGCATGGCTTTTGACTTTACAGAAGCTAATAATCTAATCCATAAATTCAACAAAGAAACAAAATTAGCTAGCAAAGACTTGCTGAGGCTTTTTCTTAAAAGAAATCCTCAAATTAGTCTTCATCAGAAGTCTTAATCGTATTTCATCGTTCAACGCCGATGTTGTTGGTCTTTTTTTCAAAAATCTTGAAACTTTGTTACAAAAGCATCAATTTACAGAAGACAGGATCTTCAATGCTGACGAGTCTGGAATAACAACTGTCCAGAAAAAGTCTGGAAAAATATACGCCAAAAAAGGACAAAAGCAAGTCGGAATTACTATTTCAGCCGAACGAGGACAAACTATCACTATTTTATGCGCTGTCAGTGCAGCTAGTTCCTACGTCTCTCCAATGTTTATTTATCCAAGGAAACGTACGTCTCCACAACTAGAAAAGGATGGTCCAATTGGATCCATTTATTTGTGCTCTGACAATGAGTAGTCAAATAATGAGCTATTTCTAGAATGGTTAAAACATTTCCAAAGCTATGTGAAATCTAACGCAACCAACCCGATTTTACTTATTTTAGACAATCATGGAAGCTAAATTTCGTTGGAAATTTATGAGTTCTGCAGAAATAGCCATATCGTACTTCTTACAATACCCCCTCATACGTCAAATCACCTTCAGCCTCTGGATTTAACATTCTTTGGACATCTTAAAAAATCTCTCTTTGCTGTTTATGATTCCTATATGATTTCAACTGCACACGAGAAGATTACAGTGTACGATGTGACTCGTTTGTTTAATCAAGCATATATAAAAGTAGCAACTATGGATAAAGGAATTTCAGGATTCCGAGCTGCCGGAATATTTCCTTTCAACCCCCAAGTTTACAGCAGACGACTTCGTACCAGCTGAGGAATTTAGAGAATTTATTGTGGATGCAAAATCAGATGAAGGGGAAAGGCCCTTCAAGATAATTTCTTCTCAGACACCAATAGAATCCTTAGCTATTGCGATACCGACACCATCAATATCCGCTATTCCAGAACCGACACCCTCAACAGCAGCAATTCCTAAACTTTTACCATCATGTTCGTTTGCCAAAATATCAGATGTTGCTCCTATTCCCATGAGAACAAATAAGAAATTCACGAAAAGAAGGACAGCAAACAAGCAAAAGTCAGACATTCTGACTTCTACAACAATGAAGCATATACTTGTTCAAAAACAAGCAAAATGAGACCAGAAAAATGATCCTCAAAACAAAACATATAAGAAAAAGTAAATGGACATGGAAAAGAAAACCAGAAGAGGATTAACATAAAAAGAAAGTGTGTTGAAAAGGAGGAGGGGATGTCAGAGGATAACTCTGATTCATCAGTGGAATTGGATGTCTGAAGACAGCAATTCAGATAGGAATGAATACGCATTGTACGAGAGGCCTTCTGTGACAAACGAATTATGCATCATATGCGGCGAATTCGGAAAGAATAGAGAACTCTGGTACCGTTGCGTAAAAGATGGAAGATGGGCTCACTCCGAGTGTACAGGTTGATAATCAGCTAAGGAATATACATGTGATGAATGTATAGAAGGCAACCCAAAAAGAGATAAAGCAAAACGATATTTATTTAAATAAATCCAAAAAAGCTTGTCAAAGTTCTTGGAAATGTTCTTATGTTGAGAATTGTGTTCTTAATTTCTTTATATCATATTTTCTTTTAACATTTTTTTTTTCATCAGCCTACTCCGAAGCCTCAAACATTCACTGGTTGCGTAATATTGCCCCACTGGGTTTCCCCATTTGGCAAATAAATTTACTTGTTCACATTAAAAACCGTTTCGCTTTCTTTGGCCCACCCTGTAGGTATAGATATTTATTATCATGGTTTTGTTAGTTTTAAAAATATCTGACTCAAATATATTTTTTACTGCAAAAAACCTGTCTTGTCAATAGTTATGAGTAAATTTAAAATTTGAATTTTAAATTAATTGATATTTATTTTATGTAGTATATGTCAGGGTCGGCAACATTTTTTGGCTGCTGATCAAAATAAACCAAGACGTAACTACTAGGGAAACAGTAACAGTAAAAAAAACAAAATTCTAATTATAATTATAATTATTATAAAAACAAATATTTATTGTCGTGGCTCCCTTGATGCTGAATTTTTGACGTCAATTTCGTTGAGTCTGGTTAATAAAAACCAGCTATAAATTGTTTTGATGGATTTCATGACCATGTCCATTCTAGAATGGATATAAAATTATATCCGTTCAATAAACTGATATGACCCACATATTCATTCGGTACTTTGTTCAAAGAATAGATAATATTTGCCTTTAAAAATACAGGATTTATTTTTACATACGATTCAAATTTCCAGAAAAATACAAACATAAACAAACTTTTTAATTATACATATTTTAGTTTCAAACTGACATTCAACTGATAAAAAAGAACTAATCATTCTGTTCACTATACTTACGCAGGTTTCGGATTAAAAATTTTATGAGTATTTCCAGGTAAGTACCCGAAAGTTTGACCTGTTCTTTGGGGAAATATCAAATATCAAATATTATAATCGTCATCATCATCACTGTCATCACCATTAATTGTTATTATGATTGGACTTATTTCGTTTATTTTATTTTCACGAGTCCACCAATCTTCTATTAGTTTCTTGCACTTGGATATACAGTTCCGCCACACTTCTGGAGTTGCAATTGAAAGTGCTTTTCGCTAAGTTTCCCGAACTGCGTCGTCACTATAACTATTAGACCCAATATGGTTGTCATAATATTGTTTTGCTATTCCAGATATATATTAGATGGGATTAAACTGACAATGATACGGTGGCAGACGTAAAACTTGATGACCGTAACTTTCAATAATCTGATCCACAACAAAGGTTTTTGGTTTTGCGTGTATATTTGCCAAGCGTAATAATTCTGATTTTAATATATATTGAGGAAATGGTATATGTTCCTTTGTTAACCATTCTTTAATTTTATCAACAGTCCAAGAATTCGTTGGACTTTTGTTTAATACTTCAGAATGGTAAGGTGCATTGTCTAAAATAATTACGCTGGGCTCACTTAAACCTGGGAGAAGTTTTTCATGCAACCATTTTACAAACATTTCTGTGTTCATATTATCGTGATAGTCACTGGATTTTGATTTAGATGAAAATATTAAATCAGCACCTTCTATAAAACCCGATTTCCCTCCTACATGTAAAATTATGTGTCGCTTCCCTTCTCCATCGGTAGGTTTG